AATGCTCTTTTACCTAGCAATTGCTTATCTAAGTATCAATCCTAAGAAGATAAGGATGTGCTCAAAGATTTAGCTCTAAGAATGATTATGGGTGTTCTGCATATAATAGTGAAATAGAAACAACTATGCAATACTAGAGGGCCAACTGATACCTAAATTTGTTTTAAGAATGGTTGTTTCTGGGGCACCTGGGTGGCTCAGTTGGTTAAGCGACTGCCTTCGGCTCAGGTCATGATCCCAGAGTCCTGGGATCGAGTCCGGCATTGGGCTCCCGGCTCAGCGGGGAGCCAGCTTCTCCCTCTGACCCTTTCCCCTCTCATGCTGTTTCTCTCTCTCTCTCTCTCAAATAAATAAATAAAATCTTTAAAAAAAAAAAAGAATGGTTGTTTCTGGACAAGTGGAATTTGTAGGTTTCAGAAATTTCTTTTATGTTGTTCATATTTTCTTGACACTTTTGGAAGAAGAAAAAGGAAAGCTTAAAGATCACAAAATCTAGTGACACTTATTCTTGTTGACCTCTGTTGAGTTATTTAGACCGTAGCTATAAGTCTTTCCCTCTGTTCCAATTGCTGCTACTAACTCAGGGAACTTCAGCATTTTTCGAGCAGGACTGATCTACTCTCTCCCTTTTCAATTCCTTCATATCCCATTTCCAATGGCCTTCCAGTTCTGCAATTCACTTCTTCACTCTTCTTCACTTCTGTGATTCAGTACAAAGAATTTTAGGTATTGTATTCATTCAGAACTGTTCATCTCAGATGTTTCGGCTTTTTGCTCTGTTCTGCTTTTTGATGAAAATGCCTTGTTTTTCTGATTAAATGAAGTAACACATTTGCTGGAAAATTTTTTCAGAAAATACGGAAAGATTCAGGGGTGCCTGGGTGGCTCAGTCGTTAAGGGTCTGCCTTCGGCTCAGGTCATGGTCCCAGGGTCCTGGAATCGAGCCCCGCATAGGGCTCCCTGCTCCTCAGGAGGCCTGCTTCTCCCTCTCCCACTCCCCCTGCTTGTGTTCCCTCTCTTGCTGTGTCTCTCTCTGTCAAATAAAGTCTTTGAAAAAAAAAAAAAAGAGAGAATACAGAAAGATTCAAAAGAGAGAATCAAAACACTGCAATCCAGAGCATACCACTCAGCATTTTTGCAACCTCTTAAACTTGCTGTTAGGAATAGTTTTTTCTTTGCTTTCCAAAATGGGATCTTACCATTCATTTTACTTTTATAATCTGGTTTTTGCCACTCAATAATTTACCTTTCCAAGCCCATCTATACAGACCCACATCATCATTATTATGGCTAAAAAATATTTTATGGATGTAATATTCTTCATCTAACTCAGGGTGTCTCAACCTCAGCACGGACATTTGGGGCTGGATAATTTATTGTGGGGCCTGTACTGTGCACTGTAGGATGTTTTGTAGCATTCCTGCCATCTACCAGTTACATACCAGTGGCACCATTCCCCTAGTCATGACAATGAAAAATGTTTCCTGCTAGGGGCCCCTGGGTGGTTCAGTGAGTTAAGAATCCGACTGTTGATTTCCACTTAGGTCATGATCTCAAGATCCTGAGATCAAGCCCAGCATCAGGCCCCATGCTCAGAGAAATAATCTGTTTGTCCCTCTCCCTCCCCCTCTGCCCCTCCCCCTGCCCCCACCCGCCCCTGTGAGCATGCGTTCTCTCTCTCTCTCTCAAATAAATAAACAAACAAATAAAATCTTAAAAAAAAAAAAAAATGTTTCCAGCTATTCCAAATGGCTTCTGTGGGCAATCTTGCCCCAGTTGAGAACCACTGATACAATCAATCTGCTATTATTTGACATTTATATTAATCTATTTTTTTATAATTAAAAACAGTGGTGCTAATAAAGATCTTAACATATATAAACTTAGCACTTCTTTGAATTGCCTGCATAGCTTAAATTCCTAGAAAGGAACAACATATTTTAAATGTTGGTATCTATTCCCAGATAGTCCTCCAAGTGTTGTATCAATTTATATTACCATTTAAACAGCAGAAATGTCACATTTCCTCATATCTTGTCCAAGTACTGTCTTTCTTAGTGAAAAGCAAAACATACCATTTTGCCCTTTAAACTTGTAAATTCTTTGATTGCTAACCAGGTTGGTTATTGGTCATTTGTATTTCTCCTTTTGTGAGCTGCTAATTAATGTCTTTTGTCCATTCTTGGGTTTGTAAGAGCTAGTAATTCTTCCTTACAATTTGTAATTTTTCTGGTAACATTTATGCTGAGTTTTCCTTTACAGAAGGTATACATTTTTTATGTTGTCAAATTATTAGCCTCTTTATTGTGGTTTTACTGTTAATGGTGTCATATTTAGAAAGATCACCTCTGAAGTCTTATACTTCAGTGTTTTATTCTATTAGACCAACCTTCTATTTTTCTTTATTTCTCATTAGACTCTAATACTAAGCCTTTGCTACTTCTAGACCAGAACAAATTAAATTTGAATGTACATATGAATTAACTAGAATCTTATTAAAATTCACATTCTGATTCAGTATGTTTGTAATGCGACAAGGGAGCCTGTCTTTCCAACAAGCTTACAGGTGATGTCAACTCGGTTCCTGGGCCACACTTGGAGTCACTAGGTTCTAGCCCTTCAGCCCTCAGTCCTCTGTACCCTCTACCTCCATTCTCTGATTGGTTCTCTTCTGAATTTGCTTCCTTTCCCACCTGCTGTGAATCCCAAGGACAGGAATTTCAACTCTACTTCACCCCTTTGTTTTTCTGGAACAACAACCCTCAATCTCCACCCCAGTATTGACAAAGCCAACGTTTCTCCAGTCTCCAGCCACAGTACCCCTGAAGGAAATCTTATAACTGCTACCTTCTTCTATAACAAATGTATCATTTCTAAAGTCCAATCAGCAAGCTTTCACTTTGTTCCTCCTCAGCTCCCTTTCCCATTTTTATAGTAACTTTGCCTAAAGGTAACCTCCTCAACCCCATTCCACCTCCTCTGGAACCTCTTAGTCAATGAACAACAGCGAAAGAACCTCTTCAAGCCATCTAGTAGAAGTCAGTTAGCATAGTAACTCTGATACTTAAAAAAGAAATCCGCTCAAAAACACACCCGTGTCAAGATTTTCCGACTCTTAGAAAAGTCTGTCTAAAGGTATGAATTAAACTAGATTATTTAATAAACACCTCATACAGTTCTTACAGTGTGCCTGCCAACTTTAGTTAGGTGGGTGCAATTACTATTTCCATTTTACAGACCAGGAAACTAAGGCATAGTGAGTTGACACAACCACAGAGAGTCCGGGCAAGGATTGGAACCCATATCTTGTGACGCTACAGTCTTAGGTTTTATCCATCCAGGCTCTGCTGCCTGGGAATCACAGGAGGCCTCATTGTTCCTGAGAGCTCAGTTCTACAATAGCATCTGCATCTGCAACAAAGAAGAGGCAGGCAAATCAATAGCGGTTTTCAGCTCCGGATGGCATATTTGATTAACTCAAGACACTTTTTTTAAAATGTCCTTTCCAGGACCTCATGGAGAGAAATTCTGTTCAATTAGTTTTCAGTGGGGCTCTAGGATTTTTAATCTGTTAAAGAGGAGTATTATCCCAAATCAGTGGTTTTCAAGCTTTTCATATTCACTGGACCCTTGGCACAAATCTCCAATCTCTCTGACAGGTAATGTGTGACAGGTGTGTGAGGTCTTGGCCCGCACCACAAACCGCCTCCCCGGTTTAGTTGAAATCTTTGTTATCCCTAGTGCAAATGTAGACCACCTTCCAGAAAGAAGCATTTTTAGAAAGAGAACTAAAATTGGCCTAGGGAGTGTTGGTGGGGGGACTGTTGGATTTACAAACAGTAGGTGTGCTTTCTTCCATGTGATTTCCAGTTTTAAATTTGACTGATTTAGCCAATCTCACACACCAAAGAAATTTGTCGGAAATTTTCCTATACTGCACAGTTGGCAATTTAAAACTTCTACACACATGCGTTCTCTCTAAAACCCCACGCTTCTGCGCGCCTGGGTCACTCGGTTGGGCGGCTGCCTTCGGCTGGGTCATGATCCTGGAGTCTCGGGATCAGTCCCCGCATCGGGCTCCGTGCTTAGTGGGCAGTCTTCTTCTCCCTCTGGCCCTCCCCCGTCTCGTGCGCGCTCTTCAATCAATCTTTTAAAAAAATAAAATAAAACCCCACGCGTCCTCAGAGCACGGCTGGGGAGCCTGGCACAGCTGGGAGCGCGGCCCCTACGACTAGCGCCGCAGAGACCCGTGAGAGCCACGTGGAGCTCTCACCGCGTACCGGGGCTCCAGGTGAGCGAAGGACCCGGTTCTACAGCTGCAAACTCGCGTGCCCCTCGCCGGAGCCGTGGTCGAGGGGAGGAGACGCTTCCAGCCGGGGGCGCCGGCAAAGCTTGGGACCGCGACCTGCGACTCGGTTTTCCGCCGCCCACCCGCACCGTCCGGCGCGCCCCCATTACCCGGCGCCGCGCGGGCTCCAGCTCGCCCAGGTGCGAAGGGTGCTGAGCCGCCCCGGCCGCGCCGCTCGGCCCCGCCCAGCAGGGGCCCGCACGGCGCCCGAGTGGGCCGGCGGCACGTCAGTCAGGGCCGGGGGCGGGGTCCGGCAGCGGCCGTCCCCCGGCCCGGCTATAATGTCGGGCCCCGGCGGGCAGCAGGCGGCGGGTGGAGGTGCGCGCCTGGGCAGGGGTGAGGCTGAGGGCGCGCGGAGCTTCTCGCAGCTGCCGCAGCTGCCGGCCCGCGGCGACTCCCGGAGGAGGGAGAGAGAGGGAGAGAGAGGGAGGGAGGGTGGGAGGAAGGGGCGGGCGGCGGGATGGAGGGCACTGGAGGCTGCCGGTGCTCCGCTCACACCAACTCCCGAAGGTGCTGCTTCCAACTTTTACCTTCTTGGAAGCAGGGAGCGACAGTGTCAGGAGACTTGACATTGCAGGGCTGAGCCGAGCTAGTGACGTCCACAACCCTTTCCTTATCGGTTCTCAGCTTTGTTATTTGTGTTCATTTCTAGAACATGGACTTCGCCCGCCTGTGGCTAGGGTTGCTGCTGCCTTCGGTAGCTGCGCTGGATTTCGGCTACCACCACCAGGAAGAGATGGAAGCATTTTTGAAGAATGTGGCCCAAAACTACAGTTCTATCACTCGCTTACACAGTATTGGGAAGTCTGTGAAAGGTAGGGTCCATCTCGTGCACTTTCCCAAACCCCCAGCCCTCGCTTTCGTTCATTAAGTATACCTTAGCTTCCTGTCCCCTTTCCTTGGAGCTACTCGGAGGAGCTCCAAGCGGGTAAGCCGGTGCCTTGCGTGTTGGTGGTTTTCTGCTTTTGTGTGTTGTGTTGTGTTTTATTTTGTCAGGGAATTAGTAGGAACAGCTGAATTTTAGTAAACGTCTCTGCTGCCATTCAGTGTCATTGAGTCCTATGCATTAATGGTATTCTTTTTCCATCTTGCACTGGTTGCTTGAGGTGTGTCTTTTAGTTTTTCTTGGTAGGTAAACTTATGTCGAGAAAGTCTCCGTTTATCCATAGCAGCTTTCCCTTTTTGTTGGCTTCTTTAAATGCTTTGGACTGTTAGTATCTTTTTTTTTTTTTTTTAAGTCTCCAAGCTAAAATAGTTCGGTTGTGTTGGTGAGATTTCTGTTGTGTATAATTAGCCCTATGACATAAAGTGATGCAAAACTATCGTTTCTATAAGTTTTAGTGTTAAATAGTACAGTTGGTAAGATTTGTGTCGTGTGTAAATTAGCCCTATGGCTTAAAGTTATGCAAAAAAGTGGCTCTGATACTGATTAAAGGCTCTTTTAAAAATCATCTGTTTGAATAAGACAGTTGCTGGATAATAAATACATGCTAGCAATGACTGGGACTAGCATTTTCACATTTATCATTTAATTGCTTTATTTTAATTTAGAAATTATATATTTAAAAATAGCTGTATATTAAGTCTAATTTTTATAGACAGGGAATTTGAATCAGAGAGATATTAAATATTTTGCTCAAGATCACCAGATGGTAGATTTTGTAATCAGGATTGGCATTCAGATCCTTCTACTTAAAGGTGTAGATATTTTGGGGACAAGGAGAATACTTTATCAAATATTGTTATTTCTTAATCTTTTTGTATTGGTGCCCCCGAAGAGATTGCCTGGAAACTTAATGCTTAAATCAAGTTTTGTTAAGTTTATGCAGTTTGGATCTCCTCTCTTTATAAGGTGTGTTCAAATTCTACTTAGATTTTATCTCTGAGCTTTTGAACTAAGGAGTGTCTCTTAATTACCATATTCTCAATCATTTTCAAGAAAAATTAAAGTCATGGTTTTTATATTAAAGAAGACCTACTTAATGAATTTACTTATATGTAACGCAAAATAAAAAATGCTGGGTCATGGTTTTAATGGTATCTTTGTTTTCAAACATTGCCAAAGAGTTGGTGCCAGAATTACTCTATATTGCTCTATAATCCAAATTACAGAGGTTGGATGTGTGAGAAATCACATCTTGAATCAGAATATGTGTTCAGCCTTTTGAAATCATTTCCCCCTAGGGTTCAAGAGAAGAGCAATTTTAAAAGATCTTTAGTAAAGCAAATACCTTGAGTTATTGTTCAGTCATCATTTAAACCACAAGATGATGAGGGTGTTGTTAATTTTAAGTACTAAATGATTTGGCAAGCTTTTATATTTTCAAACACAAAGTACTTGTGAAAGAAAATTGGGGAATCTCTTAATGTGAACCAGCTACTCTGATCCATCTTTCATGATATCAGACCGCAGTAACAGTGAAAGCGAGTAGGCTTCCCCCCCCCTTTGTATGCACTCTTGTGGTTAAAGGACTGAGAAGTTATCATGTAAAAATAAAATCTGACACTAGTCATCAGATGTTTGTGTTGAATATATTGTTCTGAATAATTACTCCGATTAGGAAAAAGGTTCCAAGTGGTGGGTTAAAATGTACACTGTATCACTTCATGTTATCATGACCATTGAAAACCCGTGCTCTTTTCACTAGACAGGCAGTTTTCCCTGGCGGTCCCACCCTCTGGTATAGGATATGTTTGCTTAGCAAACAGCCTTTTACCATATTTGTTATTTTTTTAATTATGAACCTGGGCAATCTACCTAGAAGAGGAAGTAATATTCCTACCTGGCTGGTCAAGTACATTTTTAGTTTTTGTAAATGCACATCATGTGGATTTTTGTTACTGTAATCATGGATCCTATTCTGCCTTTTTCCTCAATTCACATTATTTCTACATAGGATGATGACCTTCCATTGTAACTGTTGATTTTTTTCAGTTTTTTATTTTGAAATGCTTGAAATCCACACAAAAGTTGAGCCCACATATACCCGTCACCCAGATTCAGCCATAGTAGACTGACCATATTTCATTTGGAGCTTTTGGGGAAACCCCATTACATAATGACCTAGTAAAATCTTAGGTGAAACGAGCAGCAACTCAAAAAACTGACAACTGAGTTAAGAAAAATTAGAAAAGGTACAATATTCATTGGTTTATTCATTCGTCCATTTACTTAAGCGAATATACCCCCCTTTTTTTTCCACTCCTAACCCCCTCTGTCTAGTATGATGCTAGCACATATTCAGTAATTTATATTTTGTTTGTTAATGAATTGAATGTTGAGTGAAAGCCGTGTGAAGCAAGCAAAGTTGTGTGCCATTCGTTGCCTGCCATTAAGTAGCCCCCTTTAAAGGACAAATGTATTGTGGATTTCCCCAACGAGCCTCTCCACACTCCCAAAATTAGTTCTAGGACTTTTTTTTTTTTGGCTTTTTAAGTTTTAATTCCAGTTAACATACAGTGTTACATTAGTTTCACGTGTACAATATAGTGAATCATCACTTTCATACATCACCCAGTGCTCATCACAAGTGTACTCCTTAATCCCCATCAACCCATTTCACCCATCCTGCGTTCCCCCCCCCCTCTGGTAACTATCAGTTTGTTTTCTAAATTAAGAGTCTGTTTCTTTATTTTGTCTTTTTCCTTTGTTCATTGTTTTGTTAAATTCCACATATGAGTGAAATGGGTATTTGTCTCCAATTGACATTTTGCTTACTATTATACTCTAGCTCCATCCATGTCCTTGTAAGTGGCACAATTTCGTTATTTTTTATGGCTGAATGATATTCATTCATATGGGTGGGTGTATGTGTGTTTTCACAACTTTATCCGGTCATCAATCAGTGGACACTAGGCTGCTTCCGTATCTTGGCTATTGTGAATCATGCTGCTATAAACATAGGGGTACATGTATACCTTTGAATTGGGTTTTTGTATTCTTTGGGTAAATACCCAATGGGCAATTACTGGATGGTAAGGTAGTTCTATTTTTAACTTTTTTGTGCACCCTCCATACTGTTTTCCAGAGTGACTGCACCATTCTGTCTTCCCAACAGTGAATGAGTATTCCTTTTTCTAGTTTTAGGACCATTTAAAATGAGATTTTTCTACCATCTCCATTTTAAGAATCTTCCCTTCTGCTTAGTCTAACCTTTACTTTATCTGAATAAAGAAGGTTGCAAAGGGCAAGGAGTAGATAATAAAAATCTGTTATCAAGTGCTTCCGTATTATATGTTTTAATACATCATTTCAATCTCAGTGACTCTGAGTAGGTATTGTTATCCTTGTTTACAAAACAGGTCAGTGCAGCACAGGGGAAGTTAATTAACTGCTGAAGATCACAACCAGTAAGTGTTAGAGGATTCAAATGCAGATCCATGTATCTCCCAAGCCCATCTCTTTGCCCTTTAAAAAGGCAGTTTGACACAGAGGTAGATATGTGGAGATTGGGTTTTCTAGAGTCATGATTTGGGCACATGTGATTTGAAAGTACAGCTTCTGCCAAAGGATCTATGGCTGTGTTGTTCATTACAGTAATCATTAGTCACCTGGCTATTGAGCAGTTGGAATGTGACTAGACAGAATTGAGATGTGCTAAAAGTGATTTTGTAGACTTAATACAAAAAAAGTAAAATAATGTTTTTATGTTGATCACCTGTTGAAATAATTTAGAACTATAGGTTAAAAATATTTTTAAAATTTCACCTGCTTTTTACTTCTGTTAATGTGGTTATGGTTACTAGAATATTTTAAATTATATGACTCGTATTATATGTTGATTGAGCCATGCTGACCTAGAGAGAAATTTGTTAGTAACTTTTTTTTTGAGTACAAAAGGAAGTTAAGTTCATTTAGAAAATTTGGAAGGTACAGCAAAGCACCAAGAAGAAAATTAAAATCTCACCATACAAAGAAAACATTTAGTAGACTAAAATCACTATGTGTACTGTTCTGTGCCTTTCTCCCTCACCCTAAGCTAATTATCTTGCCTGTGCACGCAAACATGTTATTTCTAAAAGTTGATTTTAATGCCCTGCTTTGTGTCCTATCAATGGATATCCTAGTGTTTATTTAACTTCTACCCCACTGATGGACATTTAGTTTTTTTCTCAACTTTTCCTGTTACAAATAGTGCCATAGTAGACCTCTTCAAAGCTAAGACGGCAAAAAAACACAGACTTTGGAACCACAGTGCCCAAGTGCAAATTCTAGATCCTCTACTCTGTAGCATTGTGACCTGGAGTTGTTGGATAATTCCTGGCACATAGAAAGTACTACATAAAAGCTGCTGCTAGGGATATTGTAGCTGCTGTTAGGGAGAAGTTTCCAAAAAGGAAATTACCAAGTCTTAAGCAGTTTTATGTATTTGATACATGTAACCAAACTGCTGTCCCAAAAAGATTGTATTGATTTTTATAATCTCACGAGAAATGTATGCTAAGAAAAAAACAACTTCTAAATCTTCTGTTAGTCATAAATCAGTATTGGCATTAGTGGTTTGGAAGATTATTGTAGATTTGTCGAAGAGTACAAAGTTTTGGTCATACAAGATGAATCTGTTGTAGAGATCTGCTTTTTACTGCATAGTGCCTACAGTTAAACAATACTGTATTGTATGCTTAAAAATTTGCCTAGATGGTAGATCTTACATTGTGTTCTTAAAATAATAGCATAATAATGAAGACTATTGAAGCGTCTGTTTTTCATTGTTTAATGTATAAGGGAGAATTTATTTCTCATGCTTTTTCCCCAACAACACTCACCTTCACGTATTCATTGGATGGATATTAATGGAATTACTCTGCTGGGAGC